CTTGTTGTATTGGGCTAACATTATTTGTCTTCATTTACCTATTAGGAACCAGGGCACAGATTTCACAAATAGCTTAAGATCACATAGTATTTTCTTGCTGTTTCATATATTACTATGATTTTATTAATGGATCCATTAAAATACACAAATTATCACTGAGGTCTTTCTAGTTACCTCTATATTCTAGAGTGAACAAAAAATAGTGTCATGCACATAGAAAATTAATATGTGCTACAAAATAAACCATTAAAAGCACTATAGAGGGCTGGAATTGTGGCTCAGTGGTAGGATGCTTGCCTAGCATGTGTGAGGCACTGGGTTCGATTCCCAGTACTTCATATAAATAAATAAAGTCCATTGACAACTAAATAAATATTTTTTTTTAAAAGTACTGTATAGAGTTAGAATCAAATTTCTATGGGACATGTTGGAGAAAGTTTTCATGACTCTGTGCAGTAAGTGGCAGGATTATTGAGTGCAAGGAATCAAGAAAACATCCAAGGGAAAGGAAGTAGTGTAACAAGGATAAAATTCTTGAAGAGATTGTGGTGTGAAGATATGCAGTGTGAAATAGGCTGAGAATATGCAGGTTACTGGGAACTTTATACACTAGCCTACAGCATTGAACTATAGGCAAAGGGGAACTAGCAGCACTGGAATTAAGAAAGTAGACAATGAATTCAAATCCAAGAATGAAGTTCTGGTTAGGGTTTTTACTAGCTGTTGGGCGAGCAGTGTAAATACTCTATTCCTCCATTTATTCTTCTTTGAGAGAAATTAAATCACACATAAATGCGACACACATAACAGCTCTCATTGAGGTATTTAAACCACTGAATATACTAATACACAAAGAATGTTTTGATACTGACCATGGACAGACATATTATGGATTAAAATTAATATTCCCATTATGTGAATTTGGTTTTGGGCAGTATATTCTGCATAGTTTAACTTGAAATGAGAAAGAATGGGAGTAGAAGGATAGATCAGAAGGCAATTGCAAAAGAAGTAAAATGAAAGGTGGGTTCTATATTAAGGCAAGGAAGAGTTTCAAGCTTTCATGCCAACATTTACTTGTAGACTAATAGTTTTAGGCCAATCACTTAATATCTTGAATCAAAAGACCTGTTTCTTTCAATATAAAATGGCATAATAAAAATATAAGTGATTTAGGGAGATTGAGAATTAAAGTATTAACTATGTGTTTCAAAAGTAGTGGATACTCAATAAAATGAAAATTTAAAAAAATTCTTATTATTTTTATTAATACTAGGCACTTAAGAAAACAAAGGACAGAATATAGACGTGGAGGAGAAGAAACAGATGAGTTTATATATGGAGGTAAAAATTTTATAATTACTGACAACCTAGACTCAGGAGTGAAGAATCTATGAAAAGATAATTCTTGAATTTTGCTAATAATAGAGTAGCAGTGATACTTTAGTTTATGTCAGGTATGACCTGGCTTTCAATTGCCCTTCTTTCTTGCTCAAAAGGGATCTGGCAGGCTTACAGGGTTATTTGATAGAAGCTTATGTTCACCCTTTTAATCCTCTGCCCATTCCTTTTATAAAGTAGGATCTACTACTCACTATGCCCATAAACAAGGTCTTCCATCTGATGAAGCTGTGTTGAATACTTATGGTGACTTATACTGGTGGCTCCCACATCTTACCAGTATCACTTAAATGTAATTATATGTTGTTCTTTTTCATTTGTTTTGTCTTGCTCTCTCACTGATACTCTAGCAGATTGGGATAATTCTGGTATGTCCATTATATTCAGGGCACCCAATTAACATGGTGAACTTAGTTATCTGTCTTATCATCTTTACCTACTAGAATACTCCCAAACATATGATGGTGATTTTCCAGTCAGGAGATAACTCATATCCCCCAAATGTCAAGTGATCAATTTTGAACATCTGAACCCATTTTAGAAAGAAATTTTTAACTTGTTTTATAACATAAAAGACAAGTTTTTTTCCCCTTTTAGACTCTGACAAATCTACATGCCTTTGCTTTTAGTAATTTTAGATGAAAAAGAAAATCTGGTCTTTACTCCTTTTTCCATCCCAGGACTTTGGAGTACACGTGGTTTGTATCCATGCAGATACACTGAGCCGTTGGAGTAAGTGTGCCTGGTTGATTTTTGGATAATTTTTTCCATGGTCCAGACTCAACTCATCTCCTCTTAGGGCTAGAAAATTCTGGTCACCTATCAGTGATGGGGAAGCTTCAGGACATCGCTTTAGTTTAATTTGGTTCTTATTCTTGTCAATACTCTTGGCTTATAAAATGGTCTCCACTTAGGTAGTAATATCAGTTTGTGGCATTTATATAGTAGTTCATTTCTATCTTAATCCCTTCTATTCTTCGGAGGGAGGCTTCCGTGTCTCTATTCAACCCCTTCCCTTAGGTGTATGTATATAACTTCATTTGATCTGGGCAGGCGTGCAATTCCTTTTTACTTCTCTAAATTTTCTGTGTGCATAGAACAGCTGAAGTTTGTGCGTTTCCCATAATTTACTCCTAGGCTCACCATATGATATCTTTTTCCTTTCCTGCTACTGGGGATTCCAAAGCAAGCATGCAGCCTAAGGGAAACTCTAGACAAAAGTAGGTGTTATATGTTCACATTTGGCCTCAAATCAGGAGACACATGTCAAACTCTTTCCAAAAACTGTTCCTCCTACTCTGTTCTAATATACCAAGGAGACATGGGAGTTCTACAGTCCCACCAGCAATCAGGGAGCAGGATGATCATTTTTCTTTTACCATGTCAGATCCACTTCCTGCAACATCTTTGGAGTGCCCCTCCTCACCTTCTCTTCAGGAGATGGGGAGCACCAATTTTCTTCCTCACTAGGTGGGGAAAAGAAGAACTTCCTATAGAGGACATTGCACTTCCTCAAAAACCAAGGATGCCTCACTCTGGGCCATCAGTTCTTGAGACCCTCTCTCCATTCTTCTTTTTGGACTACAGCTGTTTCTACTGACTCTTAGTGAGACCCATGGGAAGTGTCGGGCCAAAAATATTTGATCCCCAATCTTTTTTACTTTATCTTTGGACTAGAAACTATCCTTGAACAAGAGAAAAAAATTCATTTAACATCACATTATCTACCTTCCAGCATTGGTATTGAATGGATATAACCAGAGTTAATTAATTCACTTTGCTTCAAAAAGAATTTCTGCTATTTAAAAAATACTATAAATAAAAGCAATATTTAGTTTTAGAGTAAAACTGAGGTGCCTTGCCCATTTCTTAAGTATCCTGACCTTCTGGTTAACTTGGGGATGATTATCATACTGCAACTGTACAGAAGACAAATTGGTTCATTAACTCCAGCCTGGAACAGTATGATGATGTCCATTTAGACTTTTGGAAAGTTTTCAGGACTCATTTTTAGATAAGCCCAGCTGAAGCCTGAACACCTTACTATAAGATAATCCAAAGTTATCTTTTTACTTATATAAATAACAGTAAAAAACTATTTCAGAGAGCACTTTCCCTTTCTTACTTTAGAGAAACATGCTCCCATTTTTCCTGTTTTTAGCATAATTTCCAGCCTGCTATTTTTCACCTAATCTTTAAGAATCATTATTTCATAGAACTTTTACTGGTATAAAACAGTTATCAGAGATTGTCCATGCTGGAAAGAATTTACTGAATAATCAGTAAAGTTAGAATATCTGTAATATGTCTTCACACGAAATACTCATATCAGCTCGGCATGGTGGTGCACATGCCAGTGGATAGAGAGTTCAAGGCCAGCCTCAGCAAAAGCAAGGTGCTAAGGAACTCAGTGAGACCCTGTCTCAAAATTAAGTACAAAATAGAGCCGGGGATGTGGCTCAGTGGTTGAGTGCCCCTGAATTCAATCCCCAGTATCCAGGGTATAGGAGAACAGGATGCTATTCAGTCTGTATTCTTTTGCGGGCTGAAAATACTGTAGTTATAATAAATTAGCTGAAATTGTTTTAACTGAAATCTACCCAGTGGCTTAAAATATTGCTAGATTAATTGTGAGAATTAGAAACAATTTTCTGTGATGATTAGGGAGTATAATTTCTGAATGCACTTGATTTTATCCACACCATTAAAAAATAAAGCTTGATGAAAATTCTCTGCTTTGCATTTCAAGCTTTTCTCCACTTATCAGTTCTCATGCAACCATAAAAGACTCAGGGAAAAGAATAAAACAGAAATTATGGCTAGCTTTTGGTCAAAACATAGAACAAAGTTGTCCAAAATATTGTCACAATTCTTCTACTGACAATTCATTCCATTCTAGAGTCTTGTCATACCTCCCGGATTCATTGTCAGACTATTATATTCAGAACGGCTGTTGAAAACTTTCAGCACTTAGAAATGCTCTTGAGACATATAAAAATGTCTTTATTTAGAATGGAACATATAATACCTGCCAAATTTGTAGGTTTGAAACCACCTTCAATAAGAATTAAAAGGCCCTCTTCCTTGCTGAAATAGGACTATCAATATATGACTTGTCTGCTTCTGAGAAATAGTGGGTTCCTGTTTCTGACGTTGCAATTTAGTTTAAAATCACTTTATGATGACAGGGTACATAAAGATGATAAAACTATAAAGATGACAGTCTAATCTTCAAAGATGACCGATCATCGATAAAAGATTAAATAACATAAACATCTGCAATACCAGATTATCAGCTGGTTGGCACACTCTCAGTATTGAAGTATACCAAGAGGCTCCTGATAAGTAAAATGCTTTTTCCTATGTTATGCAGAAATCAATCCTCCCCCAAAAGGGGCAAATGAATTATAATTGCTTAGAATTTATAAGGTATATATTTTTCTCAGTTGCAATGCAATATATGTAAAATATTAATAAATCATATACTGTACAGTGTTCAAAATCCTTTCTCCTTAAAAATAAAATCCCTGATTGCTGGAAATTTTAAGCACCCCTTAATCATTTTTTTAAATTTTAATAACAATTTTATATATACGTACAAGAATGATTAGACATGCTGGTCCTATGAAACTCCAAATAAAGTTGTTTTCTGTGCTAAGCCAACATCTGAAAAAAAAAAAAAAACAGTAAAGTCCATAAATATGTTTTTCCGTACTTTAACAAGCAACATTTTCAAAGACATGCTAAATATATTCAGAAATGTCTTTCAAATGCTTAAGAACTTAACTTACACTTTGGTGGTGCCATAATATCTATATCCTAATGCTGCCGAAAATCCAACCACTACAGCTGGGCTGAGATAGCCAAAGATATAAAAATTCTTGTGCAAAAATCCCTTGTTGTAGATAACTCCCACAACAATGAGATAGAGGTGTATGCCTTCAATACACATCCATGCAAAGGCAGCTAAGAAGAAGTAATGAAGCAGCCCAGCAATGATTGAACAGAAGAGCTAGAAATAAAAGAAAGAATCCATAAGCATTTGCTTTTAAAATTATCATAACATAAAATCTTGAATTCCTCCATAAATTATGCCACTATGCATGATGGATGACATTAAAATACTCCTGTCATGTCAGTTTTTAAAGATGTGCTATTTCTAGTTGATTTAGAAGAACTGTGCTTCAACAATAGAAGACATTAACTAGTCCTGTGATAGAGCTAAGTTATGGCCCTTGTGCAAAGACATTCTTTGTATAAATTTACATTGTGTAGAAAATTGTGGGTTATTCACATGTAAACCATGGAATCTTGGTGATTATGTTATATTTAAGGTTACTTCTGCTTTGGACACATCTATATTCTCCTTTATTTTATTCAGGCTCAAAAAAAGAAAAAAATATTTGTAATAAACACTATAAGGATTATTTTTGGAGAAAGGATGATATTGGGAGACAACTGAAAGAGGAAATAGGCATTGAGGGATGGTGGGAGGTGTGTTAAATTGAAAGATGTCCTAATAATGTTATAAAACAAACAAACAAAAAATTATGTTAGGAGTTTATAGTCCATTGCATAGTATTTAAAATAGATACGATGTACACCCAATTTCCAGAAGAAAACCTTGATAGCTGATTTTTAGTTTCAGTCCTTGGGACTTTTTTAAGGAGAATGGAATTCTGGAGGCACTTTGCCATTGTTTGATCATGACAATACACTTCTGTAATCTCCAGCTTCAAGGAGTGCAGAGACATAGGTTCTAGCTGCTGCTGTTGTAGGGAATCCATTGCCACGTTCACACTTCCTGCTGGCTGCTGCCTGCCAACCAGCCACCCATAGAGCAGGGCTACTACCATGTTCCTGTTCCTGAGAGGTAAGGATACCTTGGACAGGTGACTTTGGTTCATGGACCCCTGTAAGAACTCCTTGGCAACTGTGCTGAACTTCTTTAGAATTGTTGTGTAAACTCTCCAACCATTCCTGTTTTTCCTCTTTTCTTCAATTCCTTTTTTCTCCTCCTTTCTCTCAGCTCAAACCTGCATGGTGCGCTGTTGCTCTCCAAGCTCCTGTGGCCCATTTTATCCTCATAGTCACTTCCACTAAAAAAATTATTGCATATGTGATCCCATTTCAGTGTCTGCCTCTAGGAGGACCTAGATGAACCTAATATGAAATTGTTCGGTAAGACTGCATCCATAATCACGGGAAAGGGGCATTAATAAAGTGTAGAGAATAGGTAGAATCAATTGATTATATTTTATTCTATGAAGTCTAGTTGCTTTTATGTTCTGTTGGATCCTAAGGTGAACTTTGTTTCCAATTCTTTCTCTTCTTGATCTTTAATGACCATTTAAACACAAAACATTCTTTAGTTTATTGTGAAATTTTAATTTGTCCCAATAATTCAACATAATGAGGAACATTTTTGCTTAATGGACTCAAGTTGCTTAGACACATTAGTGTTATCAAACTTAGGAAAGATAGGTTAAGAAAAATTTATACAGTATGTTTGACCCATTAAGACCTTCATTACAATTCATGTTTCTAGGACACAAATATTTAAGAAAGAGAAAAATTTAAAATAAAATAGAGAGTAGGTAAATCTACCCACCTTATTAGTATTTGTATTGATTCCAACAAGAAAAACAAGTTCTGCAAGGAAGAGGCTACAGCAGAGATTTTTGTGAATTGTTGTCCTGGTGCTTTGAATTTCACTGAAGAACCAGAAGGTAAAAATGCATATGGCAAGACAAATCAGTGAAATAATTATTCCTAGCTGAGTGATCCTTGTAAGAATATTATAATCTTTAATGCCCTAAGGAGAAATAATAATAAAGCTGTTAAAAGAATAACTCAGTAACCTGTCAAAGAAATTACAACATGTAATGAACTTCCTTTTTTGGTGAACCATTAATCAAAATGTTCATAAAATGTAAAAATACAAATGTGCATTTAGATGAGAAAAATTTTGTACTTTTGAAAATACTCAATATCCAGAAGAATGTGATATAAATCACATAGCACTCACTTCAACAGTACTCTAATCAGTGATTTTTCCCCTTAAACATAGTATTTATTAGTTTATGGTTTAATGATATTATCATCATTGGTTTCATGATATTGGAAAGACAATTTATTGTTATAATGGGAAATGGTTAATTAAAATGGATTTATCAGTGGTAAGTCCAACTCTTATTTCTATGCAGTGATTCATCTAAAACACATTAAACAAAGGTATAAGAAAAGCTGAATATGTAGAAGACCCAAATAGCATAGTCCAAAGACTCTGAAATGGAAAATGTTTTATTCTAATTAGATAAGTATTTAGCTTTACATATAGAATAGAGACTTCTTTGCTTAATTAACACCCTGAAAAAATAATCTTTAAAATTGACATTACTTTAGGCAGGCTTGTTGGGTCATTTTATAAACTTAATAATGAATTCTAAGTATGAATGGATGCAAATATATAATCTCATGAAGATATGATTCAGAGATATAAAATAACAAAGCATAAAATAAGTAAGTAAAATATTACTAAAGGAAAATACACTTTATGAAATTAGTCATCTTAGATTTTTCATGTTTTAAAATCTTGCAGGATTCTATATTGCTAAAAACATGATATTAGTTATGTGTCATTTTTGAATAAATATTAAATATTTGAGGGTACTCTGTTACTATTAAAAATAAATTTTCAATACAAAGACAAAGACCCTTAGATTCCATAAATCATTATAATGTTCAAGTGGCGTAAAACACTAAGAATTTATAGATGGATATTTAATTTAATATGTAATCTACTAGATATTACAGATTAGATAAATCATAGATTAGAAATAACCTAAAGTCCAAACTAGATATATCTTATAAGGCAGAGAGAAAGAGACTAAAAGAAAGATAAAATATGTTTGGTTTTATAATTATATTATATATGCTATTTATATCCAAGAAAAACATAAAATTAATTATTCTTTTGAACTGTATGGAATAAAAGCAGAAAAAGAAACATAGCCAGATTTATATATATGCAGTGGGAAATTGTCTTACAATTGAAGAACTAGAAGACATCAAAATTGCAAAATGGGTCAGGTGGTTACAACGACAGGAGGTGTGGGTCTCATTTGAGTAAATCAGCTCACAGCCCTCCAAAGACCAGCTGCCATTCATGGTATCAGGTGAATAGTTCCAAAATGCACACTGAGTCCTATACTTATCTGTGATCTGAAAAAGAAACATTTTACTGATGGAAAAAAAGAAAAAGTTACATAATGTTGCTTTAATTTTATTTAAAATACCATTAATACAATTACAATAATGTCTAGAAAATAAAGCATAAAATGAATTCTAATAAATGCAGGTTATTGCTATATGAAAGAATTGAAATTTGTCTTGCAACAATGTTGTTTTATCAATCTTATGTCACAGAGTTGTGATCATTTATATTATTAAAGGAGATCATGGGTATATTTTTCAACTCAATGTATAAACCATCATATGGATCTTTATTAAAAAATGTTCATTATTTACTGAATGTTTGCCCTATCTATGTATTCAAAATATAATACTGAACAAAACATATGAAAATGTTTGTACCCGTGACCTTATATCCTAGTTGGGGATGAAAAGTTATTAAATGTAAAAAGTAAATCTGGGAAAGAGGAAAATGGAAAGGAAGTTGGTGTGAGGAGGTGGTGTCTAAACAGATAACTCCATGAAGGAGGAGTGAGCCCTACAGACTGGGGAACAGAAGGTTCCACACAGTTGAAGTGGCAAATAGAAAACACTGAAGTGAGAAGACAGGAACCCTTCAGAAGTGTCCAGAAGCCAGTTAAGATACAGCACCATGAAGAGGAGAGAGAATAGAGCTGATGAAATCAAACCAGAGCTCCATCACACAGACAAGGAATGGTTGTTCAATAAATAGCTGAACTCTTATGGGCAACAGTTGGAGCACTGACACAGTCTGAGGTTGGGGTGAGTCTGAGAAGACAAGGATGGAGCTCAGTTGAAGAGATGACTAGAAGGTTTCTAGATCAGGCTACATGGAGAAAATGGAACACCTTTATCTAATGGACTGGAAATTTGATCCAATGCCAGTGGAAACAGAGGGACTGTAAGACTGGGGGTCCAAAGTCCACTGAACACACAGATGCCATTCAGGAAAAGAGCAGTCAGGTGAGGTCTGTTTACACACTGGACCTCTACCCCCGACCACCGGCCACCACCCACATTTCCTTAGTTCTCTTAATCCTTGAAGCTAAGCTACCAACCTTATGCAGGAAAGGAAAACGGATAGGCTCAAGAGAAATTGGCTTTTGTTACTGATCTTTAAGATCTTCCAATGCCAGAGCCAGGAACCTCCCCATGAAAACTCTCTGGTGAAGCACATCACTGCCACAAACCTACTAGAGCATGCTCTGCCTCAGTATTAAACAGGATGGATAGCCATGAATCACTAGACACCAGAGAACAAGCTCTAACACCAAAGAGGTAGGACCAAGGCTATCCAGCCAAACAGGAAATCAGGAGGAAGGCCATTGCAGGCTGCAGATAATAGTTTAAAAACATACATGAAGTGTATCTGACAGAAGAGATACTACATTTGTTAAACAAGATTAAGGTCAAAAAAGAGTGAAACTTTTCCATGAAAATTGTATATAAAGGAAAACTAAAAAAAACATTTGGATGAAAAGAGAAATAAAAAATATGAAACTTTTTTTTTTTTAAAACTAGAAGCTTGACTTGAAAGTCTAACAAAGAAAAGGAGGAAGAGAAAAAGAGAACAGAGAAACTGGACAAGGAGAGGAGAAATTAGCAAAGAATTAACAGAATATTTTCTAGAATTGATGCTGAAACATTTTCAGACTATACAGACTCTCAAAATTTCTACTATAACTAACGAATAAAGACCCATACTGAAGTCCAGCTCAAAGATTTTGGAATACTGAGAATAATTTTAAGATCTGAGAAGTCTGAGAGAGAGAGAGAGAGAGAGAGAGAGAGAGAAACAGTGAGAGAGGGAGGGGATAAAGAGAGGGAATGAGAACATGTAAAAGACTATAAATTTTAATTAAAATATTAATTGTGTTCTACTTCTCCAGGTTAGCCTTGAAGTTAGAAGATATGAGCAAGGTCTAGAAAGTTCTGAGAAAAAACATTTATAATTCATAACCCAATGTCATGCATCATGATATTATCTTGTAGGGACAGATGGGGCAAGACACTGAAGATAGCAGGAAACAGTTTTATTTAGCTGTAGCCAGGTTCAGAGGGCACAGCTTTTGCTGTAATCAATTAATCCCCTGAACCCCAAGTTCAGGTAATTTCAGAATTTTATACCCAGCATGTAAGAGCAGAGGCTCAGAAGTTCACACTCTGCAGAAGTTCACATAAAAACAGCTTTTTCTTTCCCTGTTCTGGGCAAGTTAACCCTTCAAGGACAACACCTGAGAAGGAGAGAGTGTCTTCTTCCCTTTCTTTCCTCCCTCTGCCAGATGTTACCAATTGGTAACTTCTCTTAGAAATGTAGTCATCTCTGTGAAGCCCCAGCTCAAGGCCAGAGGCCTTGTTAAAGGACTTGTCTTTTTTTTATCACATTTTGCATTTGCAAACATACTTCTACAAAGTACTATACTGAATTCATGTTTGTGAAAAACAAGTAAAGGGCGTTTAGCACCTGGAGTGCTGATTTCTTCCAGGCCAGTGGCCAAGTAAAACAGGGCAACAGGAAAATAGGAAGTTTAACTACATTGAACTTTTTTTTGTAGAGTCTCTTTTGCTTATAGTCTTAAAATCAATTACGGTGAAGATTTCTGGCAAAACTTGGTTAAGATTTTTTTGTGTGGAGAAGGGGGTGCCACTACAATCTAGAAGACACAATGGTAAGATATAAACAAAATATTGATACATAGATAGATAGTATAGATAGATATGTAGGTATAGATGATATATTAATATATAATATGATATATTTGATATATAAAAGCCTATTAGTTTTTCTTTTCTGCATAAAGGGCTGGAGCTTAGCTTCAAGGACTAAGATAATATATATATATATATATATATATATATATATATATATATATATAGAGAGAGAGAGAGAGAGAGAGAGAGAGAGAGAGATGATATATATAGATAGGTATATAAATATAGATATAATATACATAGATATAATATAGATATATATCTCTCTCACACACACACACACCCACCCACACAAGTATCAATGAGTATTTCATACTCACTATAGCTACATCTCTATCTATGAGATATATAACCAGATAATGCAAGGGCTTAAAATGTGACTTTCTATGCTTTTTTTCTCAAGTAGCCACCAGAGAACATGCCACCAAAATACACAAATAAACCAAGAAAAAGGATGAGATTGGCTTGGGGAAACATGGAGCCTGATGCAGAAGAGAGGGGACTGTATGTATAGGGTGATGGTGAGAGGACAGCGAGGCTCATGGTGGCACAGCAACCATAGCATAGATCATAGGGACAGCAACTTTACAGAAAGAAAACTTCTAACAGAGAATCACATGTATTTCTGTGTTTTCAAAGGCATACGGTACCATCATAGAGTTTGGGAACAAATTAGTAATGGATATACAGAAATATAAGCAAACATGTATCAATTACTTTGTAGGAAAAGATTCAGCCTCATGTTTCAGCTGCAAATAACACATTCCAAGTTACAACACTACAGACATTGAAAACTGATTTTATTGGAAATTGGAGGTAAGCATGGGATGATGGGTGGCTCAGGAAGTTTGTCTATCATGGGGGAAAACAGGTAAAAGAACTAAATCTGAATCTTTCAAAGATGACAGTTAGGAGGTAAGACTTATTTTTAGAAGTATAAAATGAAGAGTTACGGAGGTTTGGTGAGATACAAAGGCAAAGAAACTTTAAGAAGTCAGAGACTTGAGTATATTCATTAATTAACACACTGAAGTAAATGTGGAGAGATCCAGGAAAGATGAGGTAATGGCTGAAGCCAATTCTCTTGGGAATTAGATCATCAAGGATTTGAAGAGTACCAGATTGGGCAAAAGAATGAGGGCTATTGAGAGCAAGGTTCTGAAGGAAGTCTGCAGAGGAATGCCATCCTCTCCAACTGATTGCCAATTGACCACAAGCAAATTGTTTAATCTCCTGAAGTCTCAGCTACCTTATGTATAAAATGTGATAATAGTATATCATGCATATGGATCTTATGAGAATTGAATAATTTAGGAATGGCATGATAACACTGTTTTGTACTATTTACTATTATTTTTATTTTCAATATTATTACTACTATTAATATTCCTCTGAGGTAATAAAAGGTGCATATCAGTTAGTCAAGTCACAGATAAATTATGGGAGACTCTAAGTCACTAATGCTATTATGTATGAGACATCTTCTGTTTTCTCAGGGAAAATAAAAAGGGGTCAAATTGTCATTCTCAGAGACAGAGGATGCAGGGAATAAATAGAAAGTAAGGGTCATTATTTTGATTTACAAAACATTTGTACAGGTGGGCAGATCAAGGACAATTAAGTCTTTCCATGAATTATTGTGAAGAGGGTTATTTTTTCTTTTCACATGTGTGCTTTATGTTTTGTTTCTTTGTCAAAAGAAAAAAAGTGAAGTGGGTCATCTTTGCAACTTTAAGCTACAAAAACCTTTAGTATCTCTGATCACAAAAGGATGAGAATCAAAATTAAAAATAGACAAATAAGATTCCATCAAACTTAAAGTCTTCTCTACAGCAAAGTACACAATAGAGTGAAATAACAAGGTACAGAATAGGAAAATATGTTTGCTAACTACACATCAGACAAGGGGCTAATATCAAGTATACATAAAAAACTAGAAAAGAAAAAAAATAGGAACAATAAAAACAGCCTTATTAAAAATGAGAAATAGGCATAAATAGACATTCCTCAGAGAAGATATACAAATGGCAACTTGTTTGAAAAAAATTCCAAGTTCACTAATTATCATTGTGAGATATCACTTCACATCTGTTAGGATGGCTATTATGAAAAGACAAAAGTTAATAAGTGCTAGAAAGGATGAGCAAAGGGAACCCTTGAATACTGTTGGTAGAAATGTAAGTTAGTACAGCCATGATGGAAAAAAAGTATGGAGATTCCTCAAAAAAATTAAAAATGGAACTACTATATAATCCAATGATCTCACTAGTGATTGTATATCCAAAGGAAATGACAAAAGCATGTTAAAGAGATATCTGCACTCTCATGTTTACTGAAGCACTATTCACAGTAGCAAAGAAATGAGAACAACCTAAGGATCTATCAACTGATGAATGGATAAAAAAATGTGGTACATGCACCCAAAGGAATACTATAAAGCCACAAAAAGAATGAATTCCCACCATTTGTGATTACAAGTATGGAACTGGAAATAATTATGTTCCATGAAGTAAACCAGAAACAGAAAGACAAGCATCATAAAATATCACTTAATCATGGAATAAAAGATGATGTCATAGAAGTTGACAATAAAATGGTGGCTGCCAAAAGAGAGGAGAATAGGAGGAAGAGAGGAATGGGGAAAGGTTTATTAATAGGTGCTAAGTTATGCTTGAAGAGAAAGAATTTCTGTTGTGTTACTTTGCATACTTGAGTGACCATGGAAATGATGTATACTGTATATGTCAAAAATCAAAAGGAAAAGATTTTGAATGTTTTCATCATAAAGAAATGAAATTTTAAGAGACAGATATGTTTAACCTGATTTAAAACATTATGTAATATATACATTTATTGAAATATCATGATACCCCATAAATATATATATATAATTTTTATGTTTTTATGTATTAGTTAAATATAAATTTAAATAAAAAATGAAAACTATGTCCAAGTTTCCATTCTTAAAAAACTCACACTTCTTTTTCTCTCTGTAATGCTTATCATTGTTTACCTATTATTTACTTGAATTTTCTATACATTTAGTTGCTTTCATTTAGAAGTCTTCATTGAACAATGACACATCTGCATTATGTGTATGCATATGTATGCTTTTGGTTTAGAAAGTTTCTCCCCACTAACATGAACACATGAATATAATGGCCAGCTTCAAGGTTCTTCAGATGGAGTTTTGAAGGTTTCTTTGACCATGTATAAAAACCAAAATTCTGCTGAAAGCCCAGGAAAATCATCAACTGTACTAAGGTAGCAAACAATCCATGATTTTTGAGTTTCCCTATTCACTGGGAACTAAAATAGCTTGGCTAGCTCAAATGGTGCTTTTTACTATATAGCTTTAATTATATTTGAATTTAAAAATGATTTTGAATAAAAATAAAAGAGTAAAGTGGTTTTGGCTATGTATGAAATTTTATAAAAGTCTGTATGATTTTGTTTTACTCCACACCCAAATTCCTACAAACATTGTTTTAAATTACAATTATAAACTAAGGACCTCACTTATTGAACAAGTGCATTTATATTTTCAACTGTGATACTTTCTCATGATTCATTTCTTGAAGGCATGAAAACTTCCAAAATGAATAGTGTACTTAAAAGAATAAAACTGAAATATAACAATTTTAGAGAACCAAATATGTAAATTCTTTGGTACTGATCAGAAACTTCAAAGAACACTATGAGTATAAAAATGTTTTATAGAAAAGTTAGTTGAAAACATTTTACTCTCTTATTTTTACATCCATATTTTTAAACTATAAAACTCACATGTATTAAAGTGACAATACCACAACAAAAAAGTATTTCTCTGAATGTATCACCATCTAAAAAAACAACTTACCTTTATGTGACTTAATGTAAATGTTATTTTTTCCAGTTCATACAATGTGGGTGGATTTGAGTTAACTGAGACAGAAATGACTGAAGAGATGATTCTTTCCTCCTCTTCAGAATTATCAGAAGATTGAGGTTCCAATAAGAAGTTGTCAGATGATGAAAGCAAGGGGCCAATACTTTTATAATATAAAAATGCGACTGCAACATTGCCTATTAATAAAATTCATATGCTTAGTAAGATTCTTATGAAACAATAATTATGTTGAAGCTTTTAAACATAAAAATCGAACAAACAAAAATTTTACTCTAAGGAAGCCTTACAAATACACAGATACTGGGCCACACTAAGCCCATGTATACATTATCAAACGATGGTAAGACTGCTATTATTGTGGATCTGAAAATGATCATGAACTGTAGGTTTCCCTTTACACACACAATAGTTAGAGAAAAATAGTTCCAGATTAAGTTACATCTAAATCTTGATCAACCAGAATGTGAAGCATATTCACTTGAAAGGTAAAAGTTTGAGTTATTACTTCCATGTGCAAATATATGAACTGGAGAGATACTGACAGAAAATTATCACAGGTTTATAGAATTTACTCATTAAGTCTCAAATTTTCAGTTCCACAAATATTAAAACCAAGTTGACACAAGTACATTAAGAGAGGTTGGAAATCATAATCTAGAGCTTACATGTAATATTAATATTATTACCTTGCAATTACATTATAACATAATTATATTATTATGGAAATTCATATTATATATATAGTATATTTAAGTTTTTGTGGATGTTCCACATCTGGGCCAGTGGGACAAAATGGGTTAAGAAAGTTTAAGATTGGGTGACTTGCCACTGAGTTTAACGTTATTCTCACTGAACATGCTCTTATTTAATGTGTGCCAGAGGAGGAAGTGGATTGACCTGAGACGCAGCCATTTATGGGGTCCCCTGACATTCCACAATGCAGTGTATTAGAATGTAACCCAATACTGCAGATTTATAAATAAAATAATGATACCATCATCAAAAACAAAGTCCTGTGATAATAAAACTGGAAACCTCCACATCATACTAACAATATGATTCTTAATATTAATTAAGAATTAATAAATAATAATATTACTATTATCAATATCTATTAGTATTCTTCAATATGATTATGTAAGGCAAAAGTTGCCAAATTGTATCCCTATGCATATTTCTTATGGTAATTTTAAAAGGCACCACTGGAGATGTTAACAGATTGCTTGAACCACATATAGCACATAGAACATTTTCCTGTCAACTTAGAACACTTATATCAAAGAAACAAATGGGTGTTAGTGTAACACAGTTGGACTAGTGCAATTAGGACTCCAAGAGATTTAGACAAATATCCCAGGCTTTACTGTGGAGAGACAAGGGCCTAAAAACCTTTTCAGCCAATACAACATCTAGTTGATAATAGTGATTTCTTTGGGGTCGTAATAAGAGATGGTCTGAAATCAAATGAAGAATCGAAAGAGCAGGTGGAACCAAAAATTCTATTACTTACTGCTATCTTATCTAAAGACAAATATTATTTAACATCTATTTTTTTTTACCTTGGGCAAGGGGTACCATAGAGAATACTCCAAAATCCCTTTGATTACCTTTAAGAATACTGTTTCAATATTTGTTCATTCTCAAACTTTTGAACCTCTTCCAGTTCTTATGATTTTTCACTCACTCTAGCCCTGATCTAGGTTTGAGCTCTCTTACCAAATCTATATCTTCAAAAACTAGGGGTCAATCACTAATGAAAGAAATTAAAAACCTGGGGTAGTATGAAAAGAGTAGGTAATTTCCTATTAAATCATTACCCATCCTTCCCCATTTTTCTTCTTAATAAAGTTTTATGTTAGTCTTTTTGTGCTATGATCTTTCTAATATCTATTAATATTACCATACCTTTTCTAAGAAGTGGATATAGCCTTTAATTCAATGACTAGAACCAATACTTGAGCATTTTATCAATGGGAAAAAAAAACGCTGAATTCTGGAGGGACTGTACTTTAAATTAACAATTACATAAATTTGTTAAAGGGTTGTCATTCAGTAACTGTTTTTCCTTAGATTTACCTATTTTGTTTTTTGGCCTCTATTTCCTTAAGATGATATTTAGAAAGTTTTCTATTACCATGATCCAATCTTGAGTTGCAGTACAAACTACTGGAAAACTATTAGTATGACAGAAATTATGTTTTTCTATATGTTAAAAACCAAGATCAATTGTTTCAAACTAGACTATGCAATGAACTCCTTAGAGAATCATTGTTCTCACACTTCTTTATTGCTACTTCTCTTGAGAATAACTAAAAGCATCTTCTCAACAGGACTTTATATGCTTCTTTATTTTGTTGTCTAAATATTATTTGAATTTCATAAGAAATTTAAAAGTAAGCATGTGGAATCTCTCAATAAAAGTCTATTATCTTTTTATTACAAAACCTTGGTCAGAGTATTGAATCTTATTCTTTTCATCCTCAGCTCCTTTCCTTCATTCTTCTAAAATTCAGCCTATAAAAAATATTAAAAATCAGCTGTTCCCCATGGACCTACTACATATTCCTAAAATGGCAATGTGCATGTTTTAAATAATACATGTGTTTTAGTTATGAATGCTGTCAATAAGTGAAATCACACATAAATATCACTGAGAGGGTATGATCAGTTTGTTAGATTTGCCCTTATATTTAAGATCCAACCTTGAGGAAAACACATTTTCTCATTCTGCTTTATCGAGAGCTGATATTACTATGCCTTTCAATGTCAGTTTATATGTGCGATCATTAAATATAACAAAGCTACCATGCAATCCGACAGTATCCTTTTGAGATACTAATTCCATGACAATTTCATCATCTGTCACTATAATGGTTATTTTCAATGTTTTTTTTCCCAACCTCTAAACACTATTCAATGTCTTTGAATTTTCAACAGTTTGTGTTCTTTGGAATTGCCATTAGTATTATATAGAGAGAGACTTAGCTAATTAGAATGTGGTATAACTTAGTGTCAAGGGTTCAAAGGCAGTGTGGTTTAGTTATTTTCCTTCGATTATTTTTTTGGGGGATGTGGTATTGGGGATTGAACTCAGGAACACTTAACCACTGAGCCACATCCCCAGCCCTTTTTTGTATTTTATTTAGAAACAGGGTCTGAGTTGTTTATCTACTTGCTAAGTAGTTGAGGCTGGCTTTGAACTTGTGCCTCAGCCTCCCCACCCACTGGTAATACAGGCATGCACCATCTGGCTTTTCCTTTGTTTTATGACTATACGTTTCTTACAATTGTATAGAAAATGACAGGAAGAATGGAGAGGATAATATTGATGAATGAAGAAAAAAAAATCCCTGGTTAGTGCAGTGGAAACAAATCAAAACAAAAAGGCTTTCTTCTGAGAAAGGATGTATACCATGTTCTTAATAAGAAAGAAATCTCATCTTTTTTATGAAATAGTGTCTACACATGAGACTCTGTGTGTCTTGTATATTTTTTTCATTTGTATTTATGACCATCCACATATTATCTGAAGATATATTCTGATTCATGTTTTCCTAGGTAATATATTTTTACCCACATGAGAACAACTGCAATAAAAATTCTTCTATCAGCAGAGATTTTTCTAAGCTTTACTGCTCTGAAAGAGCAGATAAATGGTTAAATTTAAATAGTAGCTACTTGTTTGGTTCTGGTTAGTTGACAGGGAAAATATTGTTGAGATGATTTCTTTTTTAACATCCTCCTGTCTAGTACTGATTCTGTATTAGTTTCTGATAAGCATGGAGATGAATCCATTAACTTTGCACCTTAGTTTCATTATCTATAAAATGAGATATAAATTATATAGTCATTAAGTTGACTGTTGGTGCTAGCATTCTCTGATTCAAGTTTTTAAATAATGCTGTCTTTAGGTTAGTTAAGGGTTTACTGTACAAAGGCTAAGAAATGACAAGTGAAAAGAGAGGTCTAAATAACTTAGTATTTTATAAACATGATCTATATTTTGTTTCACACAATCTCAAATTTGTTTTCATGAAGAAGAATAAAGACCCAGGTCAGCTAAAATTTTCCTCAGGTACTAAAAGTGAAACTTTTAAATACAAAATGTAGATATTCTGTAAATAAACATTAAATATTTTTATATAGGAAAACACACATTATATGTGCATGTGATATAATCAAATGCATGACAACTTTTTATTGCAAATTCATTGATACATTGTATATAAGATTGTCCTACCATCTGAATTGTATGCAGCTTTTCTCTTTGGAAAGATCTTTATATAATCTCCGTCCACATTCATATGGGGATGAATATGTTTCATGTGATATGAATCAAAACAGAAAACTTTGAAAGCTGAAACAAAACCATGAAAATCATAAATTCTCCAAAATTAGTTTACTCACTGTTCATAGTCAATGTATTTGTTTATTGAGAGACAGTTTAATCCATCATTATTATATTTCATCTTCCTATTGAATGAACATATTCTGAACATATCCAAGCAGTATAATTTTTTGTTGTTATTGTTTTGGTATTGGGTATTGAACAAGGGGTGCTTTATCACTAAGTTAAATCCCAGCCCTTTTTATTTTTTATTTGAAACATCATCTCAGTAAGTTGCTTAAGGCCTAGCTGAGTTGCTGAGGCTGGTCTGAAACTTGCTTTTCTCCTGCCTTGGCCTCCCCAGTCTCTGGAATTACAGGCTATTAGAGGCATGTCTCAAAGTGCTAAGCAAACAGTATAATTTATATCTTAAAAATATGACGTTTTAATTTTTCATTTCATTATAGCACTCATGGTTTAATTCATACTGAGTTAAATAAATGATAAAATACATATGCATTCAAGGGCCTTCATACATAATTACTAAACCCAAGATAAGCAACATCTACTTAGAGTATGTTATCTATAACATACCTTACTATCTGAAGAGTGAATGAATTAAATTCGTGTGAGATAATTCCCTTAGCTGGTGATTTTTACCTTTTTTGAAGCAATATCTAGAAATTTAGGGCCCCCATATATCAATCAAAATGCTTACAAAGCTAATTTTGATAAGTGGTGAAATCTTGATAATTATTTTTGTAATGTACTATTACATAACAGGTCATAACCCAGAAAATGTAATAACAAAATGCAATGATTATTTAAAAAAATATATCTTGCTTCCTTAGGACAACTTTATAGGTATCCTTAATTTGACCCAAGATCATGAATGGTTTTAGTATGAAATTGCATTAAGCAGGGAACTTTTTAACTTACCATATTTACTACTTTATATTATCAAAAAGCAAAGGGTTCCTAAACAGATATTTAAATATACTAAGAAGATCTGATGTCACTATCTTTGGTCAAAATAGATTCTAAGAAGTTATAACATAACTGACTGCAAATAACAGGAAGGTAATGTGCTCTGTATATTTAAATGCTAAACAATTCAGGGATGGGAAAAGATGGATGTGTCAGGAAGGAAGCAGCACCTCTATAGTCATTTTTTCTTCTGTGCAGTACTTTGTTCATATAGCTCCTGCACTATACATCGCTATTCACTTCTACATTGATAAACCTACCAACATTGTTTTAAATACCCATCCCTCCTTTGGAGACTGGCTTGGCTGAAAACACTATTGCTTTGAAATTGACCTTCAAGTCTTACCTACATCAGTTGAATTTGTATCAAATTGAGTGCTCTTTTGGAAATTCTGAGAAATCCTTAATGTAACTTGTTCAGCAGTATGCATCAGTTTTGTAAGATAAGCTCTCCTGTGATTCGTCGACAGTTTGTCCCAGATTATTAATGTATCCTTTTGAACAAAATTATTCATGGTTTTTACAAATTCCTATAAAAGAATGTAAGTCTTAAAAATATTGGAATTCTTCACTAATCCCAAATGTAGGGAAAAAATGTAAAGATGAATTATATTAAAAGTTAAAGCTCAACATACTCACAGTTAGAGTTGCATTAGAAAGGGTGTCCTTGGCTGAGATAGTGTTATTCATGTAACCTAGTAGGGGGGATGATTCAGCTAATATTTCTATATATGTAATTACATCCGTCGGTGAAAGCTCAGTCACAGAATTTCTATAGACTTCTTGTAACAAAGCCATAGGTTCTTTTATTAGTCCCATCTAAGGAAAAATGAGTCCAGACAAGGGATCCAATTTAGACTTTTATAGCTTTTCAAGAATAAAACTCATATGTTAAATTTATTCTAATGTTGGTTTTCTTGTCCGATACATATATATTTAATTACCAGATTAAACTTAAACCAAAACATGCATCAATTAAATCTGAATTATTTTCAAGGGATTAGTAGATAACTTAAAAAGCATAGCATTTTCTTCATAAAAGACACAGAATGTATTTGAATGGACAATTTAAAAAATAACTTTTAAAGTAACTTCCTATATTCCAATATGGAATTATATCTTAACCAAAAAATATGTTAATATTTAAGCTCCTTACTCCTTATAAATATTGATATCCTAAGTGATAAATTATAACTTAATAACTTAAATTAGATTTTAATCAGCCAAAGAAGATTCTTTACTATGTGATCAAAGAGAAATTTGCTTTAGCTGATAGTTGATTGCTCTTGTTGAGATTCATATTTTCAATCACATGACAATAATTTTATGAATGTCTGACTTTATTTGCTCTTTGAAGTATTCACTTTGAAGTACAAAATCTAGTTGTATTCAACTATGTCTTCTTAGAACATAGGATTGGATCAGGAGTCAAAGAAAAGTTTTACTATTTTATTTAATAACTTTCTTTATAGGAAGAAGGTAATTTTCCAGTATACTGAATAATGAACAAATTACATAAATTAAACTTGAAGAAGTTTAAAATCTCCAAACCTCAACACTTTGGAGATTTTAAAACTAATTTTATTTGTAATGGTTACACAATATTTAGACCTTATATGTAAACAATTATCACAAGTTTAGATTGAAGTTCAACTCATACTTACTCTTCTTGAGATAAGACATTGGAATTATTTTAATTGAGACCAAAATGGCAAAAGAGAATAAATTTGAACTCAGCTTGTCTACTTACTTTTTTTAAAGTTTTATTAATATTTTTGGCAATGCAGGCATTATCTAAATGGCAGTTTGCATTCACATTTTCTGCAGGAAAAAAATAGATTACATGGTAAGTTTAAAAAAAATATTTTCTTAAGCTAATCCTATTGATGACAATGATTTTGGTCACTCATTCATAAAAATTCATAAAATCATATTCTTTAACACTAGAGTTTCCATTTCAATTTTAGAATACATAATGGTTTGTAGAAAATGGAAGAAAGTAGTTTAAAGGATTAAGGAATGAATATTAAATGCATAAAACATGCTGCCTACCTCTTCTGTTAAATAAAACAATACCCTTTTCTTAATTCATTTTATAGACACAAATGAATGCTGGCACATTTTCTTGGAAATATAACTCTTTGATACTTCACAATTGTGTTGTAAATATTTTACATAGTTCTTTGACTACACAAAAAAATTTAATAACATAAATTACCTTGGCAGTAAGAGCCATCATTAGGCATGAACTGTGCCTTTCCTGTGGATGTCTGATAACCTTCCTCACAGAAGCAGTTGTACCCACCATTCACATTTTCACACACCGCGTGAGCACCACACACAACTGATTCACTGCACTCATCTATATCTGGAAATATTCGAAAAATTAGCTTTTTAATTTAGTGTTCAAATAGTTGTTTACCTTGCTGATAGCAGTATTACATATGGTTGGTGATTTCATATCAAACTGTACAAGAAAGTAAGAAACATCCTATCATTTGGTAAAAAGCAGGAAAAAAACAAGACAACATATTTTTGAACTCTAATTTGGCCAATTCATTTTCACTGTGTACTGAAAATGTCATTCATGGGCCAAATTCTCTAATTGCTTTCTGAATAGCAATGATTCATCAACACAGTCATTTAAATAATTTCCATCATTGAAATGTAACATTTAGGTGTAATTTAATAAAAAAAAACAAATTTAAAAATATACTTTAAATTATTTGTAGTTTAGTCTTAAATTAATGCCAAGGTTTTTTTTTTTTTTTTTTGGTGTGTGGAGGTAATGGGGGATTTAACTCAGGGGCACTCAACCTCTGGATCACATCCCCAGCCCTATTTTGTATTTTATTTAGAGACAGGATCTCACTCAGTTGCTTAGCACCTTGCTTTTGCTGAGGCTGGCTTTGAACTCCTGATCCTCTTGCCTCAGCCTCCCATGCCGCTTGGATTATAGGCACATGCCACCACGCCCGGTTCAATGCCAAGGCTTTTGTGTTTAGAAGCCCAGCTGCAATTTCTTAGAGATATTTTCTAATAATGAATGAACCAGTAACTTTAAATTTACAGTTTGATCTTTAAAAAACCACAGTGTTTACCAGTATTTAAACAGAAGTAATTTAAAGTGACATCTAGCTGGTTACCTTAAATGCAGCTGTTTCTAATTTATCACTTGAAATTGCGATAAGACAAAAACAACCACACTCATACCACTAAAGGCCAGATTTGACAGCAAAACTTCTTCTATATTCTTGAAGTAATTTCCATTAGCTAGAAAGGTGATGGGATTCAATTTTAAAGGTTAGTATCCTCTGGTTCTTCTGGCAAGTTCATGATCTAGACCATGTAGAAGTTTAAGTGCACTCCACCCAAAGAATCTGGAGTGCTGCTGTAGCCTCTTCACCCTGCTTTCCCTTATGTCTGTCTATGTGTGTTCAGAAACAACTGCCCCACAAAAACGAATGGACAGGAAATAAAGTAAGAGACAAACAGGTTGACTATGACTCTGGGGCTATGGAGAACTATCAAGAAAAGCATTCTTGGCTGGGCTAAAGACCAAACCAGTGCAGATGGGGGTGCAGACTAGGGTTATTATTTTTCATTAGGTCAAAGAAGTAAGAAAAAAAATATGGAACTAAAGCCAGGATAGGTCTTTTTTTTTTTTTTTTCCTGGAGCACAGCTGTTGAAAGTAACACATGCTGCTGCACCCCAATTGGAAAAACACCCCAGTGAAGTTGTTAATAGATGGATGAAGTATCATAAATAGCACAATATATTCCGTTGGGTGAACCAATTAATATGTTCTTTGCATACCTGTGTTATATAGTTTTAGATGACTTCTATGGGTACTGTAAACGAGGTGCTGACTTCTCTCAGTTCCAAAACCATTTATTTAAATGTGCAACATTCTTAATAATTTCATCCCAAATCCAATTTCTGAGTAACATACAAATCTTGGCCATATGAATTCAATTTCCATCCACTCACTTGTACTTTGGGTTTAAATACACACGACCTTGATGGTAATAACTGACTCTGTTTCAGCTTTGCCCTGTGCCTCCTTATATCCCTTGGGGTTTCAGTTGGGGTGTTAGCTTTAGTTCAAGCACCCTGATCATTACCCACCTGGTTGGTTGATATCCCAGTAACTTGCATCAAATGGGCATTTAGCCTCTGAATTCATCAAGTGACAATATGGTGATCTAATAATAATGAGAGCAGTAGTAGTAGTAGCAATATCTTGAGACACTAGCAAAGTTTTATATTTTAACTTCAACTTTATGATTAACTATTAAGTTTCCCATTAAAGCAATGATTTTCCATCTACTGCCTGATTTATGCTTTTGTTTCCATAATGTTTTACTAAAATATGAAGTAAGGCTTATTGAATTTGATATAATCACTCTGGGCCTCAATGGTAGAGTTATTAGAGTTTAACCCAGTAGTGTTGGGTTAACTGCCCCAACTGGTTATGTGCCTGTCAAAAGAGCTTCATCTATCCTTGGCATCTTGTTTTAGGCCCCCCTTTTATCTGATAATATGGAAAGAAGCCAAAATTCTTTTTAAAAAAATCCCATGTCATAAAGGGATGACATTGGTGTGGTCAAATGGAATATAACTTGTCATTTTGCAGCAACATCATCACTTAATTCTCTTTCAATCTCTCGCAGGGCCTAAATGGCTTGAACCTAAAAAAAAACAAAATCTACTGTGGTCTCACCTTTCTGCAAGAAAAAGCACTGAGTTTACTAGATAGAAGACCTTAATTTATACTGGATTCTCACACTTACTAGCTATGTGACTTTGGGTAATACTTTAAAGAAATACTTTTAACTCAAAAGAGTGCTGTTTTATAACAGATGTGGAAATACAGGTGAGGGTGCTTGTAGTAATGTCTAGGATACAGCAGATACCTGACATTGGAACTGGAAAATCAGGACAAATGATTCTATTCACGTGTGTTTTTCTCAGAGTAGGAACCCTAATAAGTAGGTTTGGCAGTACAGGTTGCTAATGCATTTATTTCTAGGTTGACATGTCCCAGAATCCCCAAAGCTATAAGAGAAAGAGAACCCACTCCTCCATCTTAATGAAAGCTAAATTGCAATGATGTAACTATTTTAATCAAGCTAGGATTCACAGAACAGGTGTAGTAATTGACCCACTTCCCTACTATCAAATCTATCACTTGACTTCGTTTAATAATTTAATATTACTAAGTGCAAGCACATCACTAACAATCATAATTCATTTACTATTTTTCATTAATAAGGTTATGTTTATTTTTCATGCCTACAACTAGCCAACCCAGTAGTATTTTATCATAATTGTCTTTCAAAACATTATCATATCCTGGTTATGATCATATGATACTTATTATTAATGATAGAGTTTTATAATGTATAATTTTTAGGTGGCAAAGAAAATATAAAAATATAAAATTATTGGAAATAATTTACAAAGACCAAATTTAATTTTAATATTATCCAATACTAGGAAAAAATCTACAATTACATAGAATACCCATAGAAAGTAGTCCACAACAAATTAAGAGGTAAACATTTCTCTAAAGCACAGGGTAAAAAGAAAGAATTCGTGGCTTCTACTCATTGGGCCTTGGGAGTCACTTAAAATTGGATGCTTCAGTTTCACCATTTGTGAAATGCTGATCTAGATCTAGGTCTCTTAGAAATTGGGCATCTGATGTTCTGTTTTGCTGTGATTCCAAGGAGAAGAAAAATATTCACAGTGTTAAATCTCACCCACAGCCTCTGTGACAAAATTATCCTATTTGTGGAAAATATCATATGCATATGGACTAAAGGTAAATAATCTCACTTGGGTCTTTTCTTGCCCCAAATTGGAGTCTTTCATTTTCAACTTACTAAGGTTTTTAATGATTTTAATTACTAGAGTTGTCAAATTTGGGGATCTGCTAAATTTTCAAATCAAAAAGCAATACACTACAATGTGTTAAACTAATGTAAAAAGCAAATGGATTTATGGTTCTCTGTTCAAATTCCCTGAGGATTATCATTGTGCACAAAAAATATCACTACCGATTGGCAAAAGACGAAATAATAGCACAGCTTCTCAAAAGAGCTTAATCCTTAAGGACAACAGAAAATGGTGAGAAATAACATTTTTTTTCCAGAGAATGAGTTTTCCATTGAATAATCCATCAAACAAAGCAGGTAGCAACAGAAGGACTCGGAACTGGGTATTGGTTTTTGATATAGTTGTTGTGTTTTCTGACTACTTAAAATAACTAAAAAGGGAATTAGCAGAAACTGAGGGTCATTCCACAGGATCTCAACAGAGATGAATACTGGGAGAAGAAATATGGCTTATGTTATAAATATAGTACACCTCTTTAAAATGCTGGCATTCAATTTTTTTTTTGTGTGTGTGTGTGTATATTTTCTCTGCTGTGTAGGATTCAGTTTCTTCTACAACAGGAATTCTTCACTTAATAAGGAATATGAAGGGAGAAATATATCCCTTTGTGAATTGAGTGATATTAATAATAAAAATGATCAGATGAAGACACATGTCTTCTAGGGACAAGAGGTGTTAGAAAATTGAACGCATAGATAAAACCGTATTAAATTACAGTGATTGAGATGCAATAAGTTGGGCTTCTTCGCTAATTGAAACATTTCTACTAAATTTACAGAGTTACATAATCAGCATGTAATTATTAAAGGGCAAATGCATTATGATATTCTATCCAGACAAGAGACAAGAATATAGGCTTGAGAGGGCAAATAGAAAGGTACTATAAACTTTCTGGGCAGTACTTCATAGATTCCTAGATCCTAAATACATCATAATGCTGTATTCCAATAAAACATTTTCTGCAACCATTAAAGATGAAATTATTGTTCAATAAGAATAGCATTATTTTCTCATATTTTAAATCCTTTATGCCCTTGCAAAGCTTGATCCACTATATTGCATGATTCAGTGTGAGATTTAAATGGCCCAGCTATTTAAGTCTCCTGTGGAAAGAATAATGGATTTCTAGATATAAGACTGTGATTCTAGTCCTCCCTTTATCTTAAATGTGTGAACTGGAGTAGCCCTTCAATTTCCTTGGTTATAAAATGAAGAGACTAAAATCTTCCTATTTGCATAAGAAAGTGTAAAGCATAGGTACATGAGACTGGATGATTTCTTTGAAACAGACATTTTACTGATAAATTTTCTTTGACTACTGTTTCCTAACTTATCATGTGTTACTATTAATATTGCCAGACTTCTTAGCTTGCTGATGAGGATTTTATTAGAGCAAAAATCAAAGATTTTTTAGTGTGATCTAGACTAATTTGAATACCTCTGTTTTATCTAACTATGTAAAGTAGCATCATATTATTCCTGACTGATTTGCATATGTAGTCCTGAGTTCCAGTCCCATATTTTTCTTTGATAGTATGATTAATTTCTTAGGATCTCAATTTGTCTATTAATTTTTCATATTATCAATCATAATTAATTTTATCAGCCAGTAAATTGAGTAATTTTTAGAAACAAGATTAGGATGACTTATTATTCTCAAAGTTAAAAGATTTTTGTCTCTAGAGAATATGCTTTGAAAATAGTTCCTCTTCTTAATTTCTTGAATAAATAAGGATTTGTTACTGATAAGGAAAAAATGAAGTTTCTAAAAGCATTCATCAACTAGGGTTCAATCAGGGAATTTAGTTCAAATATTATTTAATCCAGCAGAATTTAGTTTAAATATTGTTTAATCTCTGGAGAAAATATGCAGTAATAGACAGGTTAAAATGTTATGTTAGATAATTGAACTTACCTATGCAGATGGTTCCATCATTGGTGATAAACCTGTCTTGGTTGTTGCTGGATCTAAATCCAGGGGCACACATACAGTAATAGCTTCCCTCTGTGTTAGTGCAGTTAGCATTTTCACCACAGGGCTGGGTTAAATTTCCACACTCATTATCATCTGTGGATATATCAATTTAAAATGTTATTTTCTTATAGTTGTCATGGAATTCATACTATTTTCCATCACCATTTGAGAATTCTTACTATTAACTGGTTAAAGATAAAGCAGCATTTATTTCAAAGAAAATACTGAAGACCTCACCTTCCATACATAGTTTATAATGTAAAGCTTTCTTTATAGTTGCAAAGGAAAATGGTATTTTTTTCTTTCAAAAGCACTAAATTTGACTACTGAATCTATATTGTAATATTTAAAATTTTGTTATTTAATTATAATGATATCAATAAATATATACTCAAATATGATTTTATAATACTCTTTGTATTAATTCAAAAGAATGCCATAAGATTATAAATCAACATACTCTACCATGTATTTATTTTCATCTTTTTTTCTGTAGCATAATTTTGTATTACTGGTTCTCTTATTAATTAATGAATTTATTCAGCACTGTATACATCACAATGTATGCATTCTTCTCTGTGTCTCTGTGTGTGTGTGTCTCTCTCTCTCTCTACACACACATACACACACACACACACACACACACACACACATAGAAAGGAACCATCATGGTACCATGATCCTTACTCTTACATTTTTAAAGTTTACCAGAAAAGGTACAGATTCAGAAACCCTTTTTAAAAATCAGAAAGCATATTTATATTATCTATGAAATAAGTAGATAAGAAAATATGTTCTCAGAAGTGATCAAAATGGACTGGAGAAGAAGAACATTTTAACATGATATGAGACCCTGTTGCAGGCTGCATGGGTCTCCCCTAAAGAAATGTTCGATTCTTAATCCCACAAAGTTCGTATGTATGACTATTTTTGGAAATAGTACCTTCAGGATATAATCAAGTTAACATGAGGTCATACTGGTTAGGGTGGGTCCTAATCCAATGACTGGTGTCCATATAAAAGGAAGAGAATCTGGACAGAAGCAGGCCCTGTGAAGACAGGCAGAGATTGATGTGATGCAGCTGCAAGCCGAGAAACACCAACGATGGCTTGTGGTCACTAGAACCCTAGAAAGAAGCTAGGAGGGACTGTTCTGCGTACACTTTGGAGGAAAACAGCCCAGCCGACTGACTTCTTGATTGCAGACTTCCAGTTCCCAAGCTGTGAGAGAATAAAGGGTTGCCTTTTAAGCTACCAAATTGTTGGTAATTTGCTATGGCAGCTCTAAGAAACTGATAGACCTAAATGGAACAATATGAGACACATAATAGAGAGAAGGAGTGAAACTGAGGAAGAACAATGTTGGACAAAGTTATGATCATAGGATGACTGAGACTTTTCTGAATGCCTTGGAGGCCTAATTTGAAAGCAAAGAGTGAAACTATGGAGGACTTTGTTATACAAATAGGTCAAGATTGGAAAATTCATTGAATGTTTATTCTTCATTTTAATCAAATCAAATTTATTTTCTTAAAGAGTGAGTTATATGGCATTTAATACATACGGAGGTTGGCTATGACACATATATAGTATACAGCTATGAGTTGGAGATTTTTCCAAATCCTTTACAAATATTAATTCACCTAATCCTTACCTAAGCTCTAGAAGGTAGGTATTATCTTAATGGAGGAGAAAATGAAGCAGAGCAGCAGAGCTAGCGTAGACCTCACATTTAAGTTTGGTTTTTTTTTTTTTTGTGTGTGTGTGTGTGTATGTGTGTGGTGGTGGGGGGAGGGTTGTAGCATAAGACTTCTTTCTCTTATGATAGCTTCTTTCCAGGCAAGTTGAATTGAAATTCCTTTCCCATTAAATTTTAGTCCCTAAGATATGGTAACAATTTATTCGTAGGTAAATAAAGGGGCAGAGCTGTAAGAGAACTTTTGAACTCCCCCTCCTCCTCAAACACACACTGAGCCAGCAACTTTGAGACATGTAAGAGCAGAGTTTGAACTGGCCAAAGTTTGTGCATCATGGACCAGGCAGGTAACTTAAAGTTGGGTAGCTTGTGAGACTGGGAAGTATACACCTCACCTAAAGGATCAAAGACTTCTTAAAAACAGTGTACTCAGTTTTGGTATTTGGCCAGGGATTTTTTTCTTCTCCAAAACAGTATATGGACGATGGAGGAATTTAAAACCAGTTGCTAAAAATATGACAATAAAATGCTGAAAAGTTAATATTTTTAATAACATTATGCATTTAGTTATCTGTTCTACACATTCAGAAAGTAGAAATATATATATTTATATAATATGAATATTTGACTATATGTATGTAAGCATTCAATCTAAATTAAGTTCATAAAATTAATTGAGAGTGACTCACAAATTGAACACGAGCACCTAAATCAGGTTAAAGAAAAATAGTTCACCCACATTGAGTTTGATTCAATCATCTAGTTACTCAAATATTTATGGAATTTCCCAATTCCCAAATGTGAATATCTATACTGGGAAATAAGTAAAAATTAATCAGAAAGTCAGGATCTGTGCCCTCCTGTCAGAGTTCACATTCTAAAGGTAAGTTAACACCGATGCATATAATTGAGTTTTTATTAAAATAAAAGTTTTCATTTATATTTCTAAATTTGAGTCCCTTCACAGCATACTGGGAGAAGTTTATATTAAACTTTGAAAGAAATTGTGCTCTCAGATCAGTTATTGGTAATATAGAAAACGATGAGGATTGCATCCCTGTGGACTATCATTGCAAAACGATATGTAAAAATGAAGAGAAAAAGACTCAGCAGGTCTGAAGTATTGGTCAGAGTCCAAGAAAATGAAGCACTTTATATCATTTGACTGACTATGTTTCTAAAAATAAATTAACAGACGAATATGTTATTTAACTCCAACATATTTTTACTAGTCTCGAGTAAAAATAGGTGGGAAAAAAATGATTGATACTGATTTTTTTTTTTTTGTCTCTCTCTACTGCATGGTTTTGGACACTTGACCTCTTAGTTTCCTTACTGAGAATTTGGAAATAAAAATATTTCCTATCTCTCAATCTTCTGGAATGGATATATAATATGGGTATATTCCCAATGGTCTTAGTGAAATCTTGTTCAGTAAAATACCACTTATCTGAACGTAACCTCACTTCCCTCAAGATACTGGAGATAGGCAAGAAATTATCTTTGTGAAGTAATATATAAATATGAATTATTTAAATGGCATTAAACTTTCCAGTGTCCAGCTTTGTGATAATTAAGCTTCAAGGAGAAAGTTTCTTTAGATGGGTATAATATAAGAAAATAAAAGCCCTCTTCTTTTGTGCTCTTATTTCTAATGTTTAGAACAATTTCCTAGTCATAATACCTACTTGAAGTAAGTCTATATGTAATTTTGGGAGGGATTATAGAATGCTTATTTAGATTAAGATGTTTCTTGAAAAATTCACTCTAATATGGTTAAATTGGAGATAGATTTTTAAAATGTTATCAAAAACTTAATAAGAAGAAATATTTGGCACTTGGCATTCTCTCAGCAAATTTCTTCCTGGCTCGTGTCTAATACACTGAGCTGAACAGTTTTTGACCTTTTAGGTAAGGTGTACTTCCTAGTCTCAAAAGCTACCCATCTTCTGCTGCCTGACACCTGGTGGAGTCAAACTCTAAGTGCCCTGCCTGGTCCATGCTGCACATGGGGTCTCTTTGGAGATCTCAACCTCTCCTCTTGCATGTCTCAAAGTTGCTGGTTCTGGGGGCGAGTTCAAAAGTCTTCCCCTATTGTTCTGCTCTTCTGTTTACCCAAGAATAAATTGGGCCATATCCCGAGGACGAGAATTTTTTGGGAACCAGGGATTTCAACTCAGTATGCCAGGAAGGTAGCTATCATAAGGTAGAGAGGGGTCTGATGCCACAGCACAAAGGCAGGAACAAAGCCGTGCACACAGAGCCCCTATTTTATTGGGATCCATGGCTACTGGAAAAGATGGACAAAGACCCAGATTATTATACTGTAATGTATACATAAAAATAAAAGAGGCATTTATAGTAGAGTGGAAACTCAGAGAAGGGAATGGTTTATTCAGGTCATGTTCAGTATTAAAAAGTCAAAATTATTTGCAGGGAAGGATTACAAGAAAAAAGTGATGCTTGAGGGGCTGGGGTTGTGGCTCAGCAGTAGAGTGCTCGCCTAGCATGTGCAAGGTGCTGGGTTTGATCCTCAGCAACACATAAATATAAATAAATAAAGTAAAGGAATTGTGTCCAACTACAACTAAGAAAAAAAGTTTTTTAAAAAGTGATGCTTGAGCCAAGCATTTCAGTATAAGCAAGGGTTTAGGCAAAGAAAAGGATCGAGGAACAAAGGGAAGAGTTTACTCAAAGCCTTGATGGACTTTAGGAATTGTATTATTGTTGAACACTGGGTCTGAGCCTAGAGACTATCAAGCAAAAATTCTATGAAAGTAAGAATGGTCAAACTGAAAGAAAACACATACTAGGAATTTGGAACTATATTTAGAGGATCTGGTCTAGAATGTCTATCAAAATGTTTTACATGGTAAATATGATGGATTTGAGCTTCAAAAACAATTTTTAAAATCTAAGGAAAACTATGAGTCAGGTAAAGGCAAACTTGATAGAACATATGAATGTGGAGGAACTAATCAAGGCAGAGTCAAGAAGAATTAGGCTATACCTCATCAATATTTAGACATTAAAATTCAGTGATTTGGAAAGAGATAGTAAGTGGGTAGGATTAAAGTAGATAGCTATGAATTGAAAATGTGCTATCTGGATGATGGCTAAATGCAAACATTTTTATTTTGTCTATTTGACTTTTTTCATAATAAAATAACATTTAAAATATCTGTGTGTCTTAGAGATTAACTGGGTTTTTGAGTTGGCTGGAGAGAAAAGAGAAGAAGCAATGGCTTCCAGGTTCTAAGCTGAAGGGATTGGTGGATGCATTGACCACTAACAAGACTGGGAGAAGCAAAGGAGGAGATTTCTAGCAGATTAAAATAGTGAGGTCACTTTTGTCAAGGAAGGGAGGCACCTCAATTAGTTGAGGACATTTAGATAG